AATGCTGGTCGGCGGCCTATGCTCCATTAGGAGTAACGCGTAAGTAATTATGAAATAAAAGAAGTACAGTGATTGCGTCATAAATGGTTTTATAAAATCACTTCTATTAAACAACTACAAGTCATAAATATGGTACGAGTGGTTATAGTCAGACAGTTTGTAGAAACAGAATAAGAATTTTTAATGGCTATTGATTGGTACTTTAAGGTGTGTATAAATCATCAAGGATAATACAGTTGAGAATCGAACGTCGGCTTTTACATTGAGATTCGGTTTTTCGATTAAAGGAATTTTTTTGGTTTCCTTTAAATGTAAACTGATGGGGTTGCAGGAAGATAATGGCATTTATCGAATGATGCACTTTGCTATTGGTACACTGAAGATGTATCCTATTTCACACACTACAGGGAGTGCTTCAAAGTACATATGTTGTTTTTCTCGATGTAACTGATTAACTACTTATATTTTGCGATAAATCACTACCACACAGGACTGGAAAACCTGAACACTAGGTTAATATTTCTTAATATAGTACGAAGTATAACTGACTCATCTATTTGACGATCAGTTATCAGGGCTTAATTCAGTACAACAGATAGCCTTTAGATGTGAGGTGTATTTCCGAACGGCTTTTCAATAAATGGTGGATAACAATATACGTAGCTCAAGTCCACAAAACGTATTAATTTACGAGCGCCACATAAATCATTCGATTTGTGTGAAGGTTTGGATATCGCCCGGGTGCCCAAACCGAAGCAGGTGGTTTTCTTAGAGGGCCACACCCCGTGCCCTTGACCTAAAGTTCTGATCCACAAAGCAGTGAGGCAACGTTAAGAGATGCAGTCCCATGGTAGCCGATGACCAACGATTGGCTCATACGCCATTTGTTCCTTCAGGATATTGAAGCCCATGTGCATCATTGGTTTAGAGTCAGGCTTTTCCAACCCCACTAGGTGGACTCTCCGTGTCCACCAACCCGGTTAAAGCAGCGGACATACGCTTCTCGCCCTCTCAACTTCTTAGACAACACCCCCGCCGCGCGGGAGAGAATCAAATGGTTTAAGTAGCGCATATCCATTTGGTGCCTTCTTGTACCAATGTTAAATAAATAAATTTACGAGCGCTATATTCTGAACAAAAACTTCAGTCGTTTTGTTAATATCAACCAATACAATCATCTCATAGTGAATAAGCCTTGTTTTTCTGTCTTGTTTGATTTTCATTATTTTATTTTATTTGAACACATAAATATTGGTACAAGAGGGTACCAAATATATATGCGCCACACAAAACAATGAGAATATGAAGAGAAAAAAAGGTAAGGAGCGTAAGAGAAAAAAAGTACGAGAACGACCAGATTAGTGTAAAGTAGTTTAATAATTAATAATAATAATAATAATAATAATAATAATAATGGAGGAAACGGAAAGGTACGATCAGAAATCTTTCAGTTAAGGAAGATACAACCACTTTTTATGAAGAAAGTAAAAGGTTACAGCAGGATCGCCGATGGCTTCTATTCTCAGCCATATCTGATAACGTCTCTAGTCACTGTGTTGCACCATCTCTAGGACCCCAGCCAGGGAGTCGTGAAGGACCAATAGAAGCCAGCATTTTGCAGCTTTCTTCCATACCACGACACTACGACACTGACCACCTCCCCGCTTTTTCCAACCAGTCCCAGCGTCCGCAAATAATGCACGGCGTGGAATCCTCTGGGACGACATTCGTAGAACATGTCCAAGCCACCAAAGCCGAAGTTTCAATATAGTGACACAACTTGAATTATCGTCTGAGCCCGAACACACGATGCCGAACCTCTGCATTACTAACATGGTGTTGCCACTGAATGTCAGCAATCCTTCGGAGACAGCGATTATCGAACATAGAAAGTTGTCTAATATCCTCAACTAGGAAAGGTCAGGTTTCACAAGCATAGAGCAAAACTGCTCTCATCGACGCGTTGTAGATCCGACCTTTTACAGCCAAACTAATATCACGAAGGCGCCAAAGATGGCCCAGATTGGCATAAACCGCTCTGGCTTTCACTATAAGTGCATTGATCTCATCACTCATGCCACCACCAGCACTTATACAGCTACCTAGATACACGAACTTCTCCACTACTATCTGCTCACCATCCAGAATGAGTACAGGATTAGAATCCTGCCAGTCGCTCCAAATGCCCTGGTACGGCCGAGAGTCCGCTCTCCCTCTCGAAACGCTGTCACATGAAAACGCGTATATAGCCTCTGCCAGGGAAGTCCTACTCACTGCGAATGTCCGGCGCTTTAACCGGATACAAAACCAATGGTGCACATGGGCTCCAGTATCCTGAAGGAACAAATGGTGTATGGACCAATCGTTGGTCATCGGCTACCATGGGACTGCATCTCCTTACGATGCTCCACTGACTTGTGGATCAGATCTTCAGGTAGAAGGCTCGTGGTGTGGCCCTCTAAGAAAACCACCTGCTTCGGTTTGGGCACCCGAGCAGTATCACAGCCCTCACACATATCAAATGAGATTTGTGTGGCGCATATATATTTGGTGCCTCCTTGTACCAATATCTATGTGTTAAAATAAATAAATAAATAATAATCCTGCCAGTCTTGTAGGAGTACTTTGCACTTCGAAGGTGCGAAGCACATACCATACCTACGGACATTGATTGCCAACTCATTAAGTGCAGACTGCATGGCTTGGGCATTATCGCACAGTAAGACAATATCATCCGCAAACTCAAGGTCGAGAAGTTTTTCTCCAGGCAACAGATTTACACCGCCGTTACTTACATCCATCAGAGCTGTTTCCAGAATGTCATCGATGGCACAGTTGAAGAATAATGGTGAGATTGGGCAACCCTGCCTAACCCCACTGCTTGTTTGATACAATGAAAAGGTTCTACAACGTGTGTTCAGACACAGCGACGATAATTCAATTAGTGTCACTATTTTGAAACATTGACTTCAGTGACTTGGACATGTACTACGGATGTCGTCCCAGAGAATTCCACATCGTTGGTTCTTCACGACTCCCTGGTTGAAGTCTTACAGATGGTGCAACAGTGGCTGGAGACGTTATCACACATGACTCAGAATAGAAACCAGTGGCGATCCCGCTCTAACTTTTTTTACCTTCATCATAAAAATGGACGCAACTTCTTTGATTTAGAGAGTTCCTTTTGGTTATATTTTTACTAACTGAACTGTTTCTCTCATTATTATTATTCCACCCTCATACACCAATTTGTTTGTTGTTGTTCTTTTATTATACATTATCTCTTTATGGTCTCACTGTTATTCTGCAGCGCATATGTATTTGGTGCCCCTTTGTACTAATGTTTGTATTCAAATAAATAAATAATAAACTCCTTAGTTGAATTCCTAGAGATGAGGCAACACAGTGGCCTGAGATATTGTCAGACGTGGTTCAGAATGGAAGCCACTGGTGATCCTGATGTGATTTCCCCTTATTTTCCTCATATGAGAGAAACTTTCACTGGAAGGAATATTTCCAGTTGCATTTTACTTAGCTCAACTGCTTCCACTACTTCTTTTTCTTTTTCACCATACTTACCTTTCTTTAACTATCTCTTTACAATCTTATTTTTATTGTGACGCATACATATATTGGTGTCCAATATTTGTTTTCAAATAAATAAAAAGCGTTGTGAAGAGCTTTTCCTATATCAAGAACCTAGAAATGAAAGTAGATTTATATTGATATGTTCACTGAAAATTCATGCAAGGAAGAGACCTGAACTATAGATAGGCAGTATCTCTGGAAATGGTAATGTTTTGTGGGGAACATCTCACACCAGCTACACTTAAGCAAGGTCAGCAGTGTGAAATGTCGTTTCATATCTAACTACTCATTGATTAATCTGTATGGTAAAACCGGTAAACTCTATGTGTAGAAATATGGCTATCTTCTAAGCAGGCCTTAAAATACGAGACTAATTCAACAAGCTAACATAATCCAGTCTTTTTTTTGGAGGGGTTGTGGAGGTTGCGAAACTTCAGTCAATTCACGATATTCAATACAAGCAGACAATTAAATCACGACCAATGTAATTTAAAACTATGATGAAAAGCACGATATACTGTCTCTTAAATTGTTGCATTACAGCCGAACTATTTAATACCTTATTTTTTACTCACTGTTAGGTAAATCAATGTTACAGTTGAATCTTGTGCTGACCTAGGTTTCTCTAGAAATAAGGGAGTTGATAAGCCAGTGACCAATCAGTGTCGAACATGCTAATCATCTGTTACAAACGATGATTACAAAATTATCACTACGCCCCTATCTAGCGACCGAAAAGAATTAGGATCAATATAGATGGATAAAGCCGATACATGTATGGAGTAATATATTCTTTATCGTCACAATCTGAACAAACCACACATAAAGACATTTCCTCAAAGCTACTTACATGATGATTACAACTTCTACATATACACTGCTTGATTTCAAATGACACCATAAGCTAAACACATTCATTGATTTCACGGTGGGACCACATGGACAACCTCTGAGCAATGCTAAAAGGACCTTGAAAATGTTCACCTACATACTACGGCTAAATGAGGGTTATAAACCAGTGTGAGGAACTAAAATTAATATTCATAACTGATAAATAGGGTTAGGAAATAGATTTATGATTTTCATCACAAACATTATCTATAACGCTAAGACTATTTAGCCAAATGAATGAAATAATTTTGCGCCAAAATTCAGAACTTATCGTCGTAAATCAGACTGGTTCGTCCATAAATTATGGTCTCACAAGCTTCGGTAAACTATGGCTATGGCGTATTTGCTTTTTTCTTTCTATTGCCTATGTAAATTATGGCTTTAATAGCAAGTGCCTCTTGTCAGCAATATAATAAAATAGTTCATAAGCAACGAAATCGTGCTAAAATGCATAAATTTGTTTTGAAAATGTAATACGATAAAACACCAAGAGAAAAAAGATAAGGGAACTAGTAACTAACTTCAGGTTTACAGCTCTCTTCAATCCATTTTATCACTGATGCTGAGAGGTCAGTAAAAGAATTGAATACAATATAATTGTCAAATGAACGGAACATGGTGTCGAAAAACACTCGGAACACTTCTAGTTTTGTATCGTCTGGGATCGGCTCGACGGATCTACATTCGTAATTCGGACTGTTTTGAACTATTTTCTCATAATTCCTGAATTTAAGAAACAACTTCGTTGAAGACTTACAAGCATAGTATTCGAAGAGCTTTAACCTCCTTTTCTAGGCTTTCGACTTCCGACAATTTCTGGTGCTTTTGCCTTCCAAGCCTTTCAATCATATAGATAGCTGTAATGGTTGAACGAATACACTACTTTTCACTACCTTTATGTAATATGCTTGATTTACTCATCCTAACGGACGGAGAAGGAGATTCATTTTTCATTGGATGGACGAGTTCTAACAACCCTTCAAAACCCCTCTAAATTAAGCATGAAAACCAAGGTAGTACAACCAACCTTGATAGCATTTCGACGACGCTGCTCCGCTTCAGTGTGCAGCTTACGCCTGCGTTCTCTAATGCCGTAACTCTCCACAGATGAGTAGTTCTCATCTTCTAGGTCTGATTCATATAAAGTTTTAACACCTGTATTATGTGGTAAGCTGCTTTCTGCATTCAGCGTCATCTGCTAGCGTCCGGACAACCCGAAAGACCTAGCGCAATACTTGACCTTCCCTCTGAAATCGAGATTCAAACTCCAAACTCCAATAGACGAATTAGAAAACTATCTTTATGGACCTGCTTAAAAATATAGTTGTCACGTTTCCTACAACAACGGAAACATGGGGAAAATGTCAAAAATATAGTTACTTTTTTTCAAATACAGAAAGTCAGAAAATCTCATATTGTTTATAAGACTGGTAAAACAATATATTTTCTTATTTTATGTGATAGTGTATAAGCATCTGTCTTAGAATGCCAGGTTTTCCATTGAATTACGCTAGGTTTGCATGTCATATATTATTTAATTATCGTTGTTGCAGTAGCGCGTGATATTTGTGGAGATAGTTAGAATTGATATACTTTTGGTCCACCACAAATTCAGATTTTGAAAATTTGGTAGAGATTCTACTCGTAACACCTTTACGAGCGGTGGATACCAACACATTAAAACCAGAAGTGAAGTTCGAAGATAAACTTGGGAATTTACCGATATGTCGAGTAACGTTTGATCTAAGCTGGATATTAAATGCAAGAGGTGCGTAGGACGGCTTACCCACTCGTGATGTTAAATGGATGTGCGACCAAGCCCCTTGTAGGAATAGTTAACATATATGCTTCTTGTTTTCATTTATCTGCCGTTACGATAACCGAACCCCATTACACTTGCTGTCTACGTTGACAGATCACAGTAATGTCCTCATTACATGTTGTATCTGGATACACAGCTCCAATGGTAGCAATTATTTTTGGAGTCAATATCAATCCACAATTTTGAGTGGCAAGGCTGGAAGGAACTAGAACACACCTAGTTCTGAAAATTCAAGTAGCGTCAGCATATTTTTATATGATTTATAGTTAGCATATTGACACTATAATTTTCCTTCATGATAACTTTATCATTACTTTTGGACTTGAAATATTTTGGTCCACTACGGCCTTCAGCTGCTGTGTGTTCACTGAAACTAAGAAGGCTAGAATAAGTGCTGAAGACTTATATAACTATATATTTTGTGGATCTATTTACTGTTGCACCATTCTTCCTTTAGCAGTTTAAGCCATTTGCCTCTAGTTATGATTCCAAATTATCTCAATCTGAGGCTCGTAAAATTTCTGACTACTGTCTACTGCTTTTCCTGATAAGTGTTCGTGCATTGTATGGGCTTCATGGTCTGTAGAATTATGGTCTACTATGATATTAGCACTGCTCTAATAATAGACGTAATCCTAAAATTGTAGATTTGCTATGATGTAACTGCCCAATCTATAAAATCTCATGTGCAAATCACATCATCTTCTACACCAACTCACTGCATCTTAACAATTACCAACAGATGAAGGAGAAGAATTTCAGGCTAGAGATGGAACAATATATTTCATATGAATAAAATATATAAGGTGATAGTGAGCAGGGACCACGCCTGCGTGGCCGAGCCATGCCATACGACCAACCCGAATTTATTCCATTCCTTATTCCCGCCTTCTCCATTGTTGGGTATTTCTCCGCGTTAAATATTGAATATTTATTTTCCGAGTAGTCTCGTGTTCAGCTTTGAGGATTGTGAGGTTATGATCGGATGCCACTACAGGTCATCGTTTCGCCTTTTCTTTGGTCCTCTTTTCTAGCCCTCCCCGCTTATATTACTCTGTGTGCTCCCCTAGTACATATAGTGCCTTCAAGTTAGACGTGAACTATAACATTTTTATTTACCCCTGCTCACACTTTATTGGTCGAAAAAGCAACAATCCCGTCGTAAATCTGTCAGCTACCATTACCTTCTTGTCAGACTACTCCCTCTCTATTCGAATCTCGTTTCAATGAAATTATTACAGTTAGCATTTGCAGGAGTAAATAAGCCTGCAGTGGCATTGGACCCCACCCACAGAAACTTTGTAGCCGGGCATTTAATTACTGAAAAGATTTATGTTCAACGGTTAACACAAAGAGAAGGTTAACGTTGGAGAAATTGAGGATATTCAGTTAGACAAATTGGATGGCATGGTCCAGCCTCACAGACGTGGTCATTTTGTACAATATGTTTTTGTTCATATTAAATATGTTATTCTATCTTTAGCTTAAACATGCTCTTCAAAAACTCCAGAAATCATATTGTTAATTGTTACTATGCGATGAGTCAGTGTAGACAATGATGTGACTTTCATGTAAGATAGTAGCTTATTAGCTAGATCAATAATAATAACAGGTCATCTGTATTAATTATTAGCCACCATGGTTCATTGACAAGCCTTAGTGGCATATAGATGCTTCGAAGAAATAAACTCGGTAAGACATCAAGCTCTAACAATTATGGTCTTTAAATGACGCAAATAGACATTGGATTGCAGCGTGAGAAAAAACTGAATGGTTATCTGGACCTAGTTCTTCATATCATCCCGAAGCCTAATCCTTCGGTCTTGGAACCGGCAGTAACTGTAGAAGAGCTACAGGCGAACATAAACAAACGTAGATAAAGACATCTAGTGTAGCAGCAGCTTAATCATCAGTGGGTCTCAACATACAAATGGGAAAAAGCATGGTCCTCAAGTACAATGCAGAAAACATCAAAATAATCACGCCTGATGGAGAAACTTTGGAAGAGGTTGAATTCTTTCACGTACCACGGCAGCGTCACCTATGCAGATGTATTGGCAAAGATTGGCAAAGTAAGGGCATCATTACTGCAGTTGAAGACCATATGGAACTCAAAAATTCTCCCATCCAATGTCAAATTGAGAATCTTTGTACAAACATCAAGACAGTTCTACTCTATGGAGCTGAAACGTGGAGAACTACCACAATCATAATAAAAAAGGGACAAGTATTTATAAACAAGTGTCTACCTAAAATACTGAATGTCCATTGACCGGATACCATCAGCAACAGCCTATTGTGACGAAGAACAAACCCGTCTACAGCTGAGGAGGAAATCTGAAAAAGACGCCTGAAATGTGTTAGACATACATTACGAAATCATCAAACTACATCACGACACAAGTAGTAACTTGGAATCATGTAGGGACGAGGAGAAGAAGGCCGAAGAACATACTACGTTGAGAGTTGGAAGCAGATATGAAGAGGATAAACAACTGGAAACAACTGAAAAGGATTGCTCATGACAGGGTTGGATGGAGAGTGATGGTGTGCACCCTATTCTTCCAGATGTGAGGTAAAAGGCGTAAGTAGGTAAGTAAGTCTGTAGAAACTTGCCAGTCTGTAAAGCTCGAGCAGGTGCTTGATTGTCGCCGGTTCTGGGTGATCCCGAATGGTTGCCACTTTGTTTTTTCAGAGGCCGGATGCCTTGAACATCAATAGTGTGTCCGAGGAAATCGAGTGAGTCATTTCCGATTTAACATTTCTAAATGTTTTCAGTAATGCCGTGCTTTTGAGGACACGGTCCAGATGCTGGGGATGACATTTGCTGAACGGTATGCGCAAAAAAGCCGTAGAGACCGAAAGGATTGTCGATAGAGGTTTTAGGAATGTCGTCAACAGTCAAGGGAATCTTTTATATGATTTAACCAAGTCGATTTTCGAAAAAAAAGCAACTTGAAATCATTGGACAATCCAACAGCCCATGGGCTTTGCCATTGCACATGTCCCCAAGAAAAATCACGACTGGCGCCCATGCTGAGATTACTGACGTTTAAATAATCAAACCGTTACAGACAGATACCCAACCCCGCACCTACACGATTTCTCACTGAACCTACATGGAGAGCACTTCTTTTCGAAACATGATCTTGTAAGAGCATACCACCAAATTCCTATGGCACCAGAAGATAAAAAACAGCCATTATTACAACTTTTGGATTTTTTGAGTTCTTAGGAATGCCATTCAGACTAAAAAATACAGTTCAGAGGTTTCAACGATATATAGGCGAGGTTACCAGATGTTTATACTTTGTATTCACCTACATCGACGACGTTTTAATTGCTAGCTCATCAGCTGAAAAGGATATTCAACGTTTACAGATTCTTTTCGACCGTTTCAAAAAGCATGGTGTCGTAATTAATCCTTCTAAGTGTATATGTAGAATTACGGTCTACTATGATATTAGAACTGCTCTAATAATAGACGTAATCCTAAAATTGTAGATTTGCTATGATGTAACTGCCCAATCTATAAGATCTTACGTGGAAGTTACATCATCGTCTACACAAATTGATTGCATTGTAACAAGCTTATTCTAGAGATAGAATATATTTAATATGAATAGAAGATACAAGGTAACATTTAGCAGGGACCACGCCTGCATGGCTGAGCCATGCCATCCGATCAACTCGGACTAATTCAATTTTTTCTCCCCGCCTTCTCCATTCTTCTGTATTCCTCCGCGTGAAATGTTTAATGTCTACTTCTCATATTGCTTCGTGGTAGGGCCCAATGCCACTACATATATTCGGCGTCCTAGTCTAAGACTTCCTAGGACACTGCACCAACACTCAAGGCATTAAACAACTACGGTAGAAATGTGAAGCTATCACCAACTATTCTGAACCAACTTCAATAAAATCATTACGCTGATTCCTTGAAACATGTAATTTTTATCGACGATTCCTGTCAAATTGTGCAAAAGTATCCAACCCTTAACAGACTTGCTGAAATTAGATAAAAAAGAAACGAAGAAAAAAAGAACATCTTCAAACTACCACTTTGTGCCAAAACGGCATTCGAGGAAGCAAAGTCTATGGTAACAAATGCTACTATGTTAATGCACCTAAATACTGACCCCACAACCCACCTAGTTCTATGCACGGACGCGTCTCAAAAAGCCGTCTGGGCAGTATTTCAACAACCAGTAAACAACATCATTACTCCCATAGCGTTCTTTTCCAAACCACTGTCACCAACACAGGAACGTTATAGCACCTTCGGAGTTACTCGCTATTTATTTAGCATTTAAACACTTTAACTTTCTACTACAAGAACGTGAATTTACTATAATGACTGATCATAAACCTTTATGTCATTCATTTACCACGTCTTATGACCGACATTCGTCACGGGATGTACGACAAATGGAT